ATTTTATATCTAAACACAAGGCTGCCAGAACTGGTTTACTGTATTGCTATCATATTTTTCAATAATTCGAGCAGGTTTAAGTATGAGGATATAAATTAATTTATCCGATAATTTTCTGCTGTCGTAATAGTTAAATAATGTGTATTTGTATCTCAAATAAATAATAAAACTGTATTAGCCTGTAATATGTTTGTAACAGTTAAAAGGATTTCATAACATATTTCAGGTACGTTTATGATCTGTCTTAATACAAAATTTCACATGCCTGACACCAGTGGTTTGTAAGATATCGTCATCAAACCAAATATTTTGTAAAGAAATTATACAGCTACCGTGTTGTTTTATAGTTTACAGAACATTAACTTAGCAAAGTCCCTAAGTTTTATAATATCTGTCACCGCACACAATTTAAGGGCTGGATATTAATTGGTACTAGTCGCTCCTAATGCATACCTTCATACGTCCGCCATGTTTCTATTAAAAGTTTATAAAAATACAATTTGTTATGATCACCAATGAACTGACGTATACATAAAACTTAATTAAAATCTGTGCGATTCTCGATTCGATATTTGCGGACAGACAGAAAATTTACCCATAATAATTTAGACAATTCTACTTATCAGTTAAATTGTTTTGAAGTGACTTTAATGTGTCCCCAGGTTGCAGAATGATAAGACGATAGACAGCAAACAAGGTACTGTCCTATAGCTTGTGGGTTTGGGCGTGGGGTTTACAACCCTCCCTCCCCCACACCTAAGGAAGGTGACATGGTAGGGTATCGGACTTGGATGCATCGTTTGGAAAGACCTGCATCAACTCGGGGTGGGATCCAGTAGGGTCTCCTATGAACCTTCGGTTTGTATAAAGGGCGGCTGAGTTTTTGATTTCCCAGCAAATGCCAGCAACTCTAGAACAAATCTATCGAATTTATTAGTTTGTCTTTCAAAGATACAATCTTATTTGAACACATTAGCTCATTTGTTTTAACATTATTTGCTTTGTACTTAATTTCTTAATACGCCTAAATATATTCTTCATTGTAGTTCACGTAACGACAGCGCTCCACTTCGCTCTTACAAACCTTAAGCTGTCTTTTACAATCTCGCCTGCAGCCATGATCAATCACAATCAAATGGCTACTCAATCTTGTAACTTAATACTTACAGACTCCGAGGGAAACCAAAAATCCTCCTCCTCCTCCAGTGTACGTTTCTTAATTTGCTGGTAAACAGAGAATATTACCACGCAATGTCCTTTGAATTCATGAAGTCATGTGTCTCAAGTCCTCTGTACTACTCTGTATTCTAAGGTTGCTGCAGTAACATTATGGTCATATACCCATGATCACAATTCAGGATCTATCATGAAATGGCTTCCGTTTATGATTACTCGAAAATTGGATCCCACTACGCTATACGGTAGTGATGTGACCACCGACACAAGCTCGATTTCGAAACTAAACGGCTGTAATAATATATTTTTTATCCTCTTTCGAAGGACCCAACAATCCAATTTACTCAGGGATTTGCTCACTGATGTACCGTCCGACCTGGGGACAATCCTCGAGACAGGGACGCAAGCTGACAAGTTCTCAGCAACCACAGCTTGAGGCAAGAAACCTAAAAATGTTTAACGTGAGCAAGAAATGCAGAAAGGAAGGAAGAAGAAAAGGACAGAAAGAGAAGAATCATAAAGAAAAAATAAATAAAAAGTAGGGAGAGAAGAAACAATAAAAACAAGAAAGTAAACAAATAAAGACTGAACTGAAGAAAGAAAAAAGGAAAACGAGAAGAACGTCAGAGGTTAGACGAAGTAAGTAAGAATCGAAATATTGGTGAGTTAAACAACAATTTCGCTAGGTTTTTGTTTTAACAAATTATTTTCAGTTATTTGTAAAATACATCAAGGATCTTAAAAAATCAAATAAAACGACTTTAACGATATAAATTACGATGTAACTCTAAACAATAAACTCAAACAGCGTTTAAAAACATATCGATGCAAAGATAAGCAACATTTATCAAATACAATTAAACGTATTTAATTCCAGTCCGAAATATATTTCATATTCTTTGATAACACTGTACCGAGTGTGCCAGTAAAAATATCTCTTGGATGTAGAATTATAAAGAGATTTTATTTAAGCATGACTATCATTCTACTGTCTCGTAAATCCAGTGGATATGAAGGCGACAGTACATGACTGGTACAACGCTTTCATTGGACTACACAATATAATTATTTTATCAACGGTTCTCTCAAAAGCATTGGATTTAGCAGAAATATTATATAAGAATTACATGCGTATATTATGGATCCCATTAACGTTTATCAAGAAAAATTCTCCCGGGTCTACTTAGCGAGATAATTCCACAGTATATTTAGGTATATAAGTAAGTGGGCTTTAAAATGAATTAGACCTACACCGAATGAAAAACATCCCAATACTCACATAATAGAAGTGACGCATTTTAAATGTTATTAAAATCTATTTAAGGACATGAAGCTAACGGAACGTAAATATTCAGCCGCGCCCCTAACATGTCATTAAAATGTGATTAAATTAATGAAATATATATATCTTGTTACTAGTGCAATGAAAGCACCGTTTCCGAGTTGTATTAGTCTACAAAAGAAGGAGATAAATGCACCTAATACTTTACTTAGGTAAAGTGATTTATAACCAAAGTAAATTAAAACAGATCAACAAAATTTGGTATAAATTTATTATATTGACTTCAGTCTATATATATCAGGTAGTTTAATCGCGGTTACTTTTGGGGAAATTGGGCAGAAATTACTATAAATAAAAGGTACATTCAAAACAATCCTATCTTTTAAACGCAACTTTAACATCGCATCTATTAAGAAATATCTAGGACTCTCAAAATTACAATATTAATTGTATCACGAAGAAAAAGAATTGACTGAGCTCCAACAACTAGGGAACGTTTACTATTTATTTAGGTAATATAACCGATTATTAAAAACATACAGCCTTAGCCCGGCGAGCAATTTTAAAAATCGAAAATAAGTAGTCTTATTTTCCTTTCGTGGTTCAGTGGTACCACGTACACTGCGGAAATATAAAATAAAATGCGTCGTTATCTAGCACCAGCCAGGCAGGCGTTGTTACCCTCGAGGCTAACCTAAGCATCAAGGAGTAGGTTGCAGCTGGCTAACGACGAATATTGGTTCATGTTTTATGACGTGTTTTTATTTATGAAGTATGACAACCACGAAAGTAAAACAGAAGTCTCTTTTATTCTAAGTCTTTCAAATTGTTAGTAGGCTAACACGGTTAGAATTACCACTATACCACTGCCAACATAATAGATTTTACACAGAACATTGCTTCATGGAGTACCTATATTATATGCGAACACAATCGTACGTAATCATTTATCAAATGTTATGCTACTGACGTAGTACACTGGTTCATGAAACGTCACTAACAGGCAAAATGTACAATTTCCATTCTATTTTAAAATGTTAATAAATCGCTAAACAATATGAAAGATATTTAACTTCATTAACAGATTTACAGTACACTGCACTGAATTATTTTGTTTTCTGAACTTCGAAGAATAGCCATGTTGCAGTTTTGTAAGGCAATAATATAAAATATGTAGGATTTGAGGTTTCGACGGTGGTGAGTCTGATGATGGCTGTTTTCTAGGTTGTTGTACCACCATCAGGGCGATGAGTTATTATCCTGATGATTGAGGCAGCAAGGACCCCTGAAACGTCGGCAAATTTCTACTAGACTATAATTAGCAACAACCTAGAATACATCCATCTTCAATATAATATTACATCGATATAGCATTAAAATGCTCTAAAGTTAAGAGGCACACATATCGCATGCGCCATCTGCGCATTGGCACGTTTGAAAACAAATCCAAGAATCTGACCAACAAATATGTTAGGCATTCGGTATAATGAGGAATAAATATAGCATAACCCACTATTGTTATAACTTAAACAAAATGACTGGTATAAAATAACTGCAAGGTTTTGTGTTTTAATTAAGCCCGTATTCTCGAGCATATTGTGAAAAAACAATAACATTTTATTGAAATATTCTTTATGTTCACGGTTTGGCTACATAAACCTAAATGCGCGATGTGTAAGCCGAGGTAGGGGGAGTTCATTAGTAGTGGGGGTCGCACAACCTCAACTGCGGTGACGCACCGAACTAAACACAGCTAGAGCTACAAGCCAACCGAAGCCGACACCCCCCTAGCGCGTGCTTCGGACGGGTCCATCTCATACGACCAAAACCAGTCCTTTGCGCAAGTATCAGCACTTCTCGCTCGGCCTCTACACAGCACTTACCGCACACTTTAGTTATGATTCTTGTCGTTGTTCGATCAACCTGACAACTGCCAAACTAACGCTGTTTAAAATTTATTAACATGTAATTACATATATAAAGAATCATATTCTGTATGAATTTGGTTACATCAACTTGTTTTAGCATATCAAATCACCATTTCAACGTTCGCTGGGGGTAGGGGGGGGGGATTATTTAGGATCGTAGCTAACATTTTATCATGTCTGTTCCGACGTATGAAGCAGAAACGTAGATACGTATTTCAAGCAGAAATATAGGACATTTCTATGGAGTATTAAGGTAAAATATGAATGAATAAAATCTGAAAACACCACGTGATAAAATTTCAACTTAGAAACATTGCAATAAAAGCTATTAAAACTAAGGATACAGTGATAAGGGTATTCGTAATGCATGAAAAATAACGGTATTCTTTTGATATTATTTAAAAATATGATGGTAAATATTTGGCAAAGGAGAAGTTGGAGAGATTGAGGTAAAAATACATTAATTGGAGCATGAGAGTACGAGATCATGCGATATGGAAAGTCTGAGGGAACAGTTTATCAGTGAACGTAACCTACTGGTGTGAATATTTATGGATACAATACTCCTCAGTCAGGATGCTGGAATGGGTTATATCTAAATAAAACTCGAAACATTAAATACAATATAAACATATTTATATTCACATGGCTCCTCAATTCCATTTAAGAGTTTTGAAATTGGCTGCACATTTAGTATACAAACGCAAGGTGGTGAGAGCACACATCAGAAGCACATATATGTATATCAACCATTACTTAACTCTTCTAAAATATCTGACACTTTAATTTTCAAATAATTTTAGGTCATATAAAAATAGCTTTAGAAATACTAGTTATAGTATCTAAAATATTCTTGAAGTAAAGCTATCTATTTCTAAGTTGGCTTTGCTAAGTAACATACACATATTTATGATTATATAAGTTATATATATTTCATTTGCACAGTGAGTGTTTGGCATGAATGTGAACATTCAAAAGCGTCCATTGCTTGTCGATCTAGACTGACCGAACCACATTCCAAAAGTTTGCTTTACAGCTGCGCGGTATAGAAAGCCCAGTCCTATTTAGTGTAAAATATTTTTTTTGCCAAAAAAAATTTACGATATTACGAATTTTATCCGGGGATTAATGTTATTATAACATATTAATGAACGCAAGCCCTGACGTACGAATAAAATAATTGTGGAATTACAAGCATTTCTCTTAATCCACCGGCACACTTTGATCTCTGTGGGATGATTATCACTTAGACAACTTCAGACGACTTCAACAATTTGACGACTACAAAACATGAACGAAAAGAAGTCAAAGTAGTTGATTTATAATATAATAGATACTGCTTACCTATTGGGACGTATCATGTCAATCTGAAGCATTTTTATTTAAACCTCATTATTAATTTTGTTTACGTACTTTGAGTGGACACGATAAAGTGTTATACAATTGCGTTAAAATAATTCTGGGTACATTTACTTATATAAATCGTCTTCAATCACATTTATAAATATTTTAAAGTGAACTATATCAGAAAGTTCAAATTACAGTCATAAACAATACGTTATATCCAGAATTGGAAGTTCACTTACGGATTACAAAAATAAATTCAATGTAGCTGATAAATTATATGAAAATTAAAAGTGTCAGATATAAAAATCACCATTCATACGAATTCATATTACTCAGTAATTCATAGTAGCACAAAACCATGAATTCCTCCAGAGACTTGGTAACATCAAAAAGCTTTGGTGTGGATAACTTTAATTTGTTCCTACTAATTACAGATTCTTCACGATGGAAAAGGTTATTTTACAGCTGGGATACAGACAACTCTATTTTTGTTAAAACCTTTTGGAGTGGGGGGGGGGGATCATTTATTTCTAACAGGAAAGATATTCCATTTTGTTTCTTCCGTATTTCATCTTTGTTTACTACTGCCTCACTAATAGTTTTGTGTAATTATATTGCTCTGTATATGGTATCAAATCGATGCCACCAGTTCTGAAACCAATGCAAATTCCATATTTGAATAGTCAATGGTTGTCATGGTAACATGAACAGCGTCAGGTAGACACACATTACAACAGTCACAACACGTTCATATTTAGGTACAAATAACAAATGAAAATTAAATTCACAGTTCTTACACAGTCTAGCTTATATTAACTATATTGTATTTTCTTATTAAATTTACATGTATAACACTTAGCGGAGTGTGGGAAAGGTAGGGAGAAATGGAACATATAAAATTTTATCGGGTTAATAGCAAATTTTTTTAAGTAATAACAGAATGTTCAGAAAATATGACACAAGTAAACGTTTCTAAATAAATCATTCATAAAAACACTGATTTTTTGTTAATAATAAAAATACATGTACACAGATACGAAAGAAGTTATTTGAATATGAAATTTATGTCATGTACCAAACCTTTGGATGACGAAACATTTTTGAGAAATTCAAAACGGTTGAACCTTCACATCCAACGCGTAATTATATTATACTAATACAGAGTAAAATCAGATTCACTCAAGAAACATCTGCTATAAATTCCCAATTCGAAATTTAATCTAAATTTTTCAAAAAAATTTCGACGAACGAATATAAGACCAGACTGACTTCACTTCCACTAACGCATTCATTTTAAACACACGGCAAGAAACGTGTACGGAGACGTAATGCACATAACTATAGAACAAGTTCACTTTCTTACGACGAATTTGATTTAAAGCGATAAAACGGTAGATATAAGTGTTTGGTTACGAGAGTTTAAACGTAAGTACATTGTTTATGTGATCGGAAAATTGTAATTTGCGGTACACAGTGACAACACCAGACTTCGGCCACCAGAAAGTCTGCAGTTCCTTCGTACTTGTTGCTAATTAATCAATTTTCTTTGTAACAATCATGTAGCGTGCGTTCATTGTATGATTTGTGGTTTTCACGGCGGTGAATCTGAAAATGGTTGCCTTCTGGGCTGTAGCTCCGTGCAGTCTGGTAGAAGTTTACCAACGTTTCAGAGGTCTTGCTACCTCCATCATCGCCCTGATGATGAAGGCAGCAAGACCTCTGAAAAGTTGATAAACTTCTACCAGACTGCACGGCATCTTCCGCGTGTTTATTGTTGATTTTTCCAAATCAGTCATATGAAGCAGTTAGTAGGCGTTATCACGTGAATTTTCATGATGTTGATGTACCGAATAAGTCAACGATTAGAATATGAAAAGTTTATTCGAAATGCTGAAAGTGGTTGCGTTACAACCTAATTGTAATTATGTACAGCGAACTCTCCATAAACTCGGATTTGTAGAAAATGGATTCGATTTTACGCGTGAAAATAAATGCGAATATCTTGACGAACGTGAAAAATTCCATGTTATCCTTTCTGCCAAACACTCTACAGCAGCATACGAAAAATATCGCTGTTATTTAAAACGCTAAAGACGGTTCAATGTTTGTATAACCGGTTTCGTTTGGGTGTATAAATAAAATTTCGGCTCAACTGTCATTCTGAAACGTATTTCTCCCGCGTCACTTACCCCTCTACTGTCCACTGACCAGGAGAAAAGCCCTGTGGGGGGAAGTCGTTTCTGGTGCGATGCAGGGGGAAAGTTTCTTATCAGCTGGACTAGAGGGCTGTTATTGGTGGGAAGTGTGATACGTCAGAGTTTTACGCTACTACACACAGACTGAAAACATCAAGCAGTTAAGAGTAGCGTGTAGTGTAGTCTAATGTGTTCTGCGGGTGTTGCGATAATATTCTAGATTAAATCACTGTGCCACTGTGAGGTAATCTTAAAGCTGTACCCACTAGAACACATGAAAGCCTGTCGTCTGTTGTTCGTTCAGTAGTTGTGGAACTAATGCTTTTAGGATGGGTCGTCATTCATCGCGAAATCTTGCGCATGCGCGTATAACGAATTCCTAGCAGGGCTCTTCTCCTGGTCTGTGGACTGTACGTCCCACAAACTGCATGTAAGCCGCGGTCTGTCTCGCTTACGCAACTATCGTGTTCAATTGAGTCGCGATTCCTCTTTCGTGTTTTACTGTTCATGATATTGCACCTGAACATCATTACGAAATCAAAACGTAAATGTAAAAGTGACAATGAAACAAAAAAGTAAAGAAATATTGTATCCCTATTAAAACCACATACTATTTTGTCCATCGCGGAATCACTGAACGCGCAGATTTCGGGGAAAGCGTTTGCCGCATTGAAGACAGATTTACTTTAATTATAAATATCACATGCGTTTTTATCTGACATGTACAATAAACATGACATTTAAATTTAATTTCGTGACGTTTGGGGCGCACGTCGTAAATGCGGAACCGATGAAACGGTAACGTGAGGTTAGTCAATTGTTTACTTAATTCAAAATGTACCTGCTTCATGGCTATAAATTTACCTAATTTTTATGTCCTTTGTGTTTATATTAGCGGAACTTCTCTTCAGGGGATCTGAACATGCGACCAAACAGTTTAACCATGTAAAGCACGAAGTTCGTCTAAACACAATTTTAAAACTGTTTACGACATTCTAGAAACACGCTGTTAATAATTTTCAGGAAAACGTGTTAACTATTTTCACGGAAAAGATATATCAGATTATTCTGAGAATTAAATGCCAGTAATAAAGACGGTGCGGGTAAAATTCTGAGTTACTGAACGTTAAGATGGTGGTCAACATAGTTACCATTGTTCCTTAATGTGCACTGTTTCGGAAGTGGGTCAAATTAAGATTTTTTACGATCATAAGTCCAATTCTGAGAAATTTCGTGTATTATTTTCTGCACATTCTGTGTTTTTACTTAAGTGTCAAAAAACGAAAGGGGTCTAACTGATAATACGTTCTACATATATATTTTTATAATCGCATGTGTGCTTTGCTCAAAACATGATCAGAATCAGAATGTCCGCTTGGAATCAACATGGTTTGAATTTATAACTTCTGGTTCTGAACATCGCAGATCTAATGGAATCATTCTCGTAAAAATAACGGGCTACCAGTGTGTTGTGTTAACGCACAATCAGATATTTAAAAATGCGCATATTACCGTCATAAGATTCGAATATACGTATTATCACATTAGAATATCCACAGATGATTAGTTCTTTTAAATATTATTAATAGTATTATTATTATTACTAGAAGTAGTAGTAGTAGTCTTTGTTTAAAATTCACATCATAGTTCATAGATTTTATTGAGACATTCATTGTAAATGATCTCGTCCAAAAAAAAATATATATACGTATCTGTGCAAAATGAAACATTTATTCACGAATGGCGAACGAAATTGTTACAAAGATACTACTTTCCTTATATAACACCAACTAATTTCTGTAAATTAATGGCACTGTTAAACATATTAACACTATTATAAAGGTTAAACTTTGCGTTCATTGCTAAAAATTCAGTTCCAGATTCCAAGATTGCCATATGTACTTATTCCATTAACTTCCGCTAGAAACGTCACAATTTTCGGAGAAACTATCATTAAGATGGAGGGTAAATTCACTGTAAGACTAGCTGTGCACAAATTACGAACAACAAAATAAGAAATTCCTTCATTCAGTCATCATTGAATAATAATTACGAAATAGCTATTACGCAATTATAAAAAGGGTAAAATTTACAACACAGTGACCATACACTTTGGGCCCCTTTATCATGTACGGATATACCGTAACATGTCACGTAAACTTATGTTAAATATGCGTAAAGAAATTAAACTTATTTTTCAACTAACAGAAAAGTATATAAAATGCAATAAATACTATGACAAATTCGTCGTCCTTATTACTGCATACGTATATCAGTAACTAACATCAACATATGCTAGGAAAAGAAGAATAAGAAACTGGTCATGCTGTTATACAGAATGGCACAACTGCTCTTCCTAGGTAAAAAAATTCCATCACTTACGACAGAAAACACATAATTTGCAAAAAAAATCTCTTACATTTCTCCGTATTTTACCAAATAACAGAGTTCTACTATGGCGACTGATTTATGAGACGAATTGTATGTACGTAACAATTAATGAGCCTTAAACATTAAATATCAACTATCTGATATCTCGTTCTAACGAATTTTCAGCTTAAAATGATCAAAGGACATTGAAATTCAACCAAAATATTTGTTCAACTCAGATAATAAGAGTGTAATTAAACGAAGTAACGAGTAAGCAAAAGAGGCATAAGTGACCAGTACCAATTTTGTATCTACACGAAAAATTTAAATAGACTTCAGAAATTACATGATGACTGTAACATATAAACTACACAACATATCGATAGCCTGAAAACTTCGCTAAGATAAACTACATAACATATCGATAGCCTGAAAACTTCGCTTCATGTTTCAGATATTCGCAAAAACAAAATAATTTTGTTGGAAACATTATTCCATGTTCATAATTTTAAGGGAAATGCCACATGACGTGATATATTTCGTAAGAGATTTATTTTTACCAAACAAAGAAACGTTGAATGTTCGTTCATATTTGTGCTTGGCCCCAGGGACACGGTTGGTTTGAAATAAAATGTATTTATCTATTTACCTTATTGGCGATGACTTCTTCAGAGGGTCCATTCTTCTTTACACAAGATCTCTTGTAACCATCCAGAAAAGACGAATACGAAATTCACATAATATAATCACAAGCTACATTTTTACACCAACATACAAACTGCTGTAGAAATCTTCAAAAGATTTTTGGTGACAAAAACTGGAAAACACTTACAGTTATATGCGTTCTTTCAGATACTTTAAGACATTTCATTTATTATTCAATTGCTGCATGTCAGTATTTAGAATAACATCCCGTGTATTACTAAAAAAAAATACACGGAATTTAAAAATGATCTCATCCCTGCATCGTGACGTGACATTTACAGAAGAGATTGTCAAACTGCCATTGTTCACATAAGAAAGGCTCCTCTGATATCTACTACTTAATATGAAACTGACGTATTTAAAAATACTTGTGGTTCTGACGATGGGAACACTGTTTATGGCACGAACTTACGCACGCACAGACACCAACTAACACAGTCACTGCCCTCTATCGGAGAATGAATGACCTTGAGTTGGCTGCTTTCTCGGCTCTTCACTTGAATGTTACTCCACCCTACTTTGACTCACTTCCATCATTGAAAACACTGATGGAATCTGTAGACAAAACAGAGACCATGTCAGTTTAACCCTTTAACACCCAGCGGTATGCACCATTTTATTTAATAATAAATAACATCATTTTGTCAACAGTGTATTTGTGGCTTTTGTGCTGTTTCTTTAAGTAAACAAGGACTATTTACGTAAACAGCAATGACCGACTGGCTCTTATAAAGGAGAAGTGTGTTTATAACGATGTTATCGATGTTCGTATTTTGGATATAAGACCTCGCAGACTTATAGGTAAAAGCCAATGTTAGGAGGAATTTACTATCTCCATCTTCAGCTTTCGTATCTACCACACGGCTTTACTTCACAGAAGACCAAAACTGACGAGAAGTGCTGTATTTTCTTTGAGGTACGGACTGAATTTTTAAATGTTATTTAGACCAGCTTCAGATCCGAAGGGTTAGATATTTAAACTCATTATTGATTACAGTCACAAAAAGTGGATTTTTAGAAAAAAACGTAAAAACACTATGAACGAGAAAATATATTTCAACTTGGAAGATACATGTTTTCAAATTTCGATTTTAATAGCATATTAATATTGATTTACTACATACACAAAATATTTTCGTAAACTAATCAGAGTACACACATCACTGCGTAGTCAAATTTACCTCTCTGTTTGTAATCGAATAAGCACCATATCGAATAATGTATACGATAAAGGTTAAAATTCTTGTGTTGCCCAGTTTTATTATTTAATAGCTCAATTACTGTAAAGTTATGTATATAATGGCTTTCCGACATTACATTTCCAATTCAATACAGTTCCTTTATAAGAGTGTTAGCCACAGCAAAAAGTTTATAACAGGCAGGCAATAAAAGAGACACACAACAGACCACACAGTAACAAATAAAAACAAAAAGAAACTAAAATACTAAACAAACTGAACACATTATACTAAAGGGTAAGGTTCCTAAAGGAATAAAGTGTTTTAATTAAAATAGTCCTAACAACAACAAGAGTAATAGTAATAATAATAATAATAACAACGGTACCTTGGCGTCTAGGACCACGTGACTGCTATCAGCGCCGTGATCAACAGTGGCACCACACTGCACATTGATGACGCCATGTTGTTGTAAACCCTCATGCCTAAATCACGCACTTCAGGCTCTGCACAAACATACGAAACATGAAACATAAATGTGAGGTAACCTCAAATATATTACTGCGTAAGCAATGTATGTAGTATAACCATTTCACTGTTATACACAATTCCTGCCATTACGCTCATGGAGGTTTCAATCTGAGACTCGTAAAATTCATAATTACGGGTAAACAAACGCATTTGTGTCTACGTTACTTGAAATCCTCAATCACATTCATTCATAAGAAGATTCCATTGGTTTAGTTTGTCTTCAATTACATTTTAGTCTTTCTCCCAACTAATCACATAGGCTACTAAGATTATGGCGTTGTCTTTCAAACATCTACATTTAAAAAAATATTCTGATCTCCCTAACTTAGTTTGAACACAATTTCCGTAATCGTGTGTTAGATCTTCTGTTACATATTCAGACAGTTCTAGAAAATATTTCCTTTATTTATATTGCTGCATTTTTTCAAAGTAATCGTGTGTTAGCTCTTCTGTTATATATTCAGACAGTTCTAGAAAATATTTTCTTTATTTATATTGCTGCATTTTTTCAAAATCTTCAGAGGACTTACCATGTCTTTTCGAAGGCCATCTCGATTAATTGTGTCATTGTCAGGGTGAAATCCGTCTTCGATATTTCCCAAAGAAGTGCATGTTGTTTCTCATTGGGCCACACTTCTACAACTTTATATTTTACTGGCTAAACTATTATACACAGAAGTGCTATTTTCCAGTAAATATAGAAGGGATTTCGAACAACTTTCATATACCTTCTTCCAGTCATCTCGTCTCTCATTCCATTGCCTGACTTTCCTCTCGACTCTGTTTATCCACTGCATTCCTACCGCTTCCACTGTCAATTCGTATGCCCTGGAGCTTTATTATTCTTGTTCTTTTTACACTGACGATTTCGACATCCAATATCGGCCTACTCATATTTTACGTATTTGTCCCTTCTATATTATTTTTATCATTTCTTGCTCATCTTTGGCTATGTATAGTATCAGCAGTTCCTAAAAGTAAGACTGCAAGATTTATAAATAATAATTTCTTCACCATATTAAAGTCCTACTCTAAATACGTAATTATTTTGTTGTTATCTATAATTAGTTTACATTTTTTGTCAATTCTTTTACTATCAATGTGATTTTCCAATCATTAAATTTATTCCAAGATGGTCTTGTGTCCATTTTAAGATCTTCCTGGTTATTCTTCGTAACATTTTGAAGTTGTCCCTGTCGTCAACGAATCACCTTTCTCAAAATCAGATCGGCGCTCATGCTGCACAAGAGCTTCTATCAAACAGGGGGCTACATACTGGAAAGTTAAACTTCGAGACTGCCGCAAAACGCAAACTCTAAAATCGACTGCTATTGGGGCTCCACCAAAGCTGTGACACGCCCAGCAAGACGACAGTGAATAGTAATAACGCTTCAAAACTACAAAGGCCTCGTACAGAAGAATAGATTTACACTTGAAATGTTTGTATATGTAAATAAAAACTAGTATTTCCATTTTAATAGACTAAGCTTGATAAAAAATCTAGTTTAGCATTTTACACTTCGAATTCTGCAAGACACGTATTAACTAAATATTTCATAAACGTCACTTCATGTCATGTAAATACTCTAGTAACCTCAATGGAGAAACAATTCACCATATTTTATGTAAAATTGTATAAATAAATAAAAAAACAGGGGAAATATTTGCATTAGCCCCCGAAGGGCAGTGTATTTTAGTATTTCTATGTAGTCGCTCTGTATAGATTCGATAAATATTGTACGAATTGGCCCCAGACTCTTCCACTGCAGCCATGCATATGCAGAAGGTGCAAAAGTAGGCTAAGCTGATACTGCTAGTCGGAAGAAACAAGACATCAACAGCATTACAAATAAGGGTATAATAATCCATATATTCATATACACCGAAATTAAATACGCAGGCAAATGTTTTAATACTCCATACACAAGAATTAGGTACAGTTAAAACAAGTCTCTCAATAATTTTAAACATTTTCAGAATTCATATTTATTTTCGTAACAACGTTTTAAAAATCATGTTTATTTAATACAACATATATAATACGATTACTTTGAATAACTGAAGACACCATATGTTGTAGAACTCAGCCCGTAATTTCAAAAATAACCACACCCAAGACTTCTGAACACGATGAAAGACACTTTATACAGTAAGGTATAAATAGTGGGGGGAAGGAGCTCGTTAGTTTTTAAATCTGAATTTAAAAAATATATAGAATTAAATACTTGCTCTATAACATTTTGATTACATGTTACAGAACAATTTCAGATGGAGTTCTAAGCAGAAGATGTTAAGTTGGATGGTATGACAACTGTTCACATTATACATATTAGTGAGACTATAAATTCCCAAAATCAAATTAATTTAAACGAAAAAAAAACACGAAATTAAAGCAGGCACAATGTAAGTTAATTTATGAGCGTTTACGATGGGGCGTACTATAATAAAATTTGAAAAATACATTTTGTGTATGGGACCGAGATATCCTCCACAGAGTATGCATAACTTATTTCCATCGGGACTGACGAAAAATGTAAGCCTGCTCAATGCATATCAACGTTCGCTGAGCGCTTGTCTTATTTTCGCTGCATCCCGTGTCGTAATACGCAAATGCAATACAACATCAATAATGACATTACGAACATATATTTAAAGTAAAATAATTAGAACAAAATTAGTCGGCTTACCTACACTTCTTACAACCGAAACATTGTCTGATATGCTGTAGGCTATGCACTTAACACATGCAAATGATACAGTGATATTTCTGCTAATAAAAAGCTGCTATGTTAGCATGTATTATACTATTAATCTTTCTCGCCGCAGACATATCAGTATGCCTATCTGGATTCATTGCAAAGAATGCCTCTGCGGTTAGGCAATTTATATTTTTCGAATTAAGACGAGTAAGCCAGGAGCAACTGAAATTATGAGACACGAAGAATGCGTTCAAAGGTAAAGATATTAAATATATCATGTAGTTACTTAATTTACGTCATATTTAGCCCAAACTAAATCGTATCACTTCTTCATCTGTTTCTAAATTTGTCTCTTCATGAGTGAACACGTCTCTCAGCTTCTATGCTAGGAGTAAAACATCTGTGAGTCACAGCTACAGGGGAGAGGGGAAGTTGGAAAGGCACGGGGGAGCAAGACGCCATATGTGCTGTCGCTTCCCCTCCCTCCCCTCCCTCACCTGCCTGGAGACGAACGTGTGAATTTGCAGCGGTCGACATAGCCCAGAGACATCTTGCGACATAATAGGGACCCGTACCACAAGTATCTTTCATGTAATTCAGACATGAATTCGTGAAAATGTTTAATACTTAATATTTTAACACATAAAATAGGTAAATCAAACAAACAAGAAATGCATTAAGCAAAACAAATACTTTATAAAGTGAGGAAATAAAAGGCGACAAGTGTAAAGAAGTAAAAGAAGAGAGAGAGAGAGTGAGAGAGTTTCTGAACTGACCTGCCAGAACTGCGGGTTCAGGTGAGGGCTCATACAGGGAGTTCTCTGCCGGGTGAGTGCCAGGAGAAAGATAAAAGAGAACAAACGCAATGAGTCACAAATCAACAAACAGACAAGCAGAACAAATAACTTACAATACAAGCAACATCAATATTTTACATTTCCTTATTATAATCCCCAACTTTGTTCACGTCTATTGTACAATATGAATGTAATGTGTGAGCGAGTCAGTGTGTGTGCACTGGCGGATGGATATCAGAAACATCGTTAGTTTGCAAACCTAGAAACATATAAAGCCGAACGGTAGGAAAACTGTGAATGATGAATTCGAAATGAAGTGGGGGGAAAAAAGGTAACGGAGTCATATTAAGGCAGTATTACAGAATTTGTCTGAATGACGTGAAACAAAAAATCTCAAAAGAAAACTGTATAAGACAGCTGGTTTCCGACACGATATTCGAACTTGGGACTAACAAATACGAACCAAAAGTGTTAAATATACGACGGCTACTCTCAGTGTCATAAAATATCTCACACTTGTTTACTATTTCATCATTTTTAATTCATCATCCACAGTCATCGTAGCATCTTACTATGTTTACTTACGTTTGATGAGAAGTGTCATTCAATAATTCAACAATTAATTACATGAAAATTACATTTCCTGTTATTATGATGTGAAACTCCCCTGTCTCCCTGTCTCTGCAGTCCAGGATAAGACCCCTTTAGTTCGTGCAGAAAACTGTGTGAATGTTTCACGAGGAGTTTGCTCCCTTGTGGAACAAATATTAAAATCGTTCCGACCTACAACTCCACCTCCCACCATAGAAAGACTCGAGAATGGATAAATCAATTTTAATCAAATTTAATACTGGAGAATTTTACAGAAAACTGTCCAGCCATTTCAATTTCCATTTAAATTGGACAATTTTAACTACTAGTTCACACAAAAACTCTTGTGAACTACGGAAAAAGCGCGGTTCAAAGGTACCGATGTACTGTTACGATATTCTTGTTGAAATTCTGCATTCACATTCGCAGTTGCCTGATAAAGTAAAATACGCATATTTTACCAAGCTAAAATGAAGTCTTCCTAGACATTCCACAACTATAATCTTAACACGTCCTTTTTAAGCGTAAATAAAATACATTGTTACTTAAAAAAGATGTTTACAGTAGGTCTAATACGACAAAGAAAAATATCGTCCTCACATCGAGTTTTATTCGTAACAATTTATGATTTGTTAGTATATTCGTTAGCTTAAATTCTAAAAATTTGCATTACATTATATTGCTGATGAAATGAATAAATGTTTCGAATGCAGAGATATTACTACTTAAAAGACAGTATAAAATCACCACAGCCGATGGAACAATAAAAGAACTGTAATTGTGAATGCTTCTAATTTATTTTATCTGTATCGAACGGTTATAAAGGAAAAATAGATAGATTGATAAGCAGAGAAATGATAAGGAACATGGTGAAGAAATGTTATGAGTAAAGAGAAAATCTTTATACTGATCACAACTCGTCTGTTAACATGTTACTTTCAAAGTATTACACAAATTATTTTTTTCTATTTTCACGGGATGATTGTTATTGAATTGATTAATGTTAAGTGTCGTGTAATGGCGTCCAGAACTCCCAACACGAGAAACCGTTTATCAAAATGCTGTACGTGGAAACTGCCCTTCAGCTCGGTTGTTAGCACAGCATTTCAAGCACACTTTAAACACTTTAAACTGAAAGCCTCCATCAGTCATGTTATGTTGTGGCTTACGTTGGATAGGATCCAGGCAGAAATTCACTTCACTGACGATTACATGATGGTTATGAGTAGAGGAGCGAACGGAAAATTAATTTGGGTTTCAAACCACGAATCCCACATATGAGTCGTATATATAAAATTTTCTTGTATGGAACTTTAATATTTTACATGCAGGTCACCATATAACATTTATCGAAGTACCAGTAGATATATGTCACTCTTCCACGTATTATACCAAACATCTGACAGCACATGAAACATAATTTTGTAACAATTTATAAAAATAACGGCTCATAATAAAAATAAATACACGGAACACATTAGCTCCTCAGTTGATCAAGAAATTCACTAATTTTTTAAGTTCAAAGCATGCCACTGAATATTATTCTGAGACAGTTGAATCCAGTTCCTACCTCCAAAGTGGTCTCCTCCATTGGATTTTTTGACCAAAATCTTCTTCTTATTCTTAGCATTTGTCCCGCTTTGGTGGAGTCTGATTTTTTCTCTCTCTGAATTTTTACACGCGTACAAGGTTGCGAACGCTCCAGAAAAAGAACTTCACGTATATAAAAAATAAGAATTATATGGAAAACATTTTGTTTTTTTAGTTATGCCTATTTGTAATGAAATACGCATATAAGAAATAAATCACGTAAATTATGAATTATATTAAACGGAACTCAGCAACACAATTATCCCCTTTTCAGAACGAACATACCACATCGAATATTATTCAAATCTGTCACATATAATAATTATTGTAAACACGTTGCATCCAAGTCTTCACAAGTTGGTTCAAGCGGTAAAACTTCTGACTTGTATTTGAGATACTTTGGGTTAAGTCAGGAAACCGGTCATCTTGCCTAAGATTTTCCTCAGTTCCAAAATGCATGAAAGAGACCACGACAGTCTTTAAACCTAACACCGAGCAAAGTCGAGGAGTGAACTTGCACTAAGGTAACAAAAATGTGATGTCCGCTTGATAGAGCTAAGAGTAGATGGACTTATAACGGTTCTTAAAAATGTACTATATGAAGCTGTAGACTGTATTCAATAATCTCTACGCAGAATTAAATGACTAGTTTTTAAGATGAAAATTAACTTTCTGGTTTCATTAAAACAGATTGTATTGACCAGCTGAGCAGATTTTTCTAGGAAAAGCCCTAAGTCAAACAGTTAATTAAATCGGTTATCCCATCATTTGAATAAAGAGGTTAAGAAATTATGGTACGATATTCGAAATCGGTAAATACAAGACACGA